AGACAGATGAGCAAATGGACTGAAACTAACACATTTTTAGGAGCTTGTTAGGACCCCCTGCTCTGCGTGTTAATGGAGGTCTCCATTTTAAGAGCTTTGGCTCTATTTCACTTGGAGGTTAAATAACTGTCAGTGTGAACGGCAGGATGTTACACACACTGACTGTGGGAAATGCATCTGCGTGTATGTTGGTGTTAGTCTGAAGCCAGAAAATCTGTGGGGACAGATCGTCACCACAATGACAACTGATGAGCGGAACTGAATTGAACTGACTGAACTGATGAGGATAATTTCTGAATGATATCTTTTACAGTCATGCCGGTGAATCTGTTTCTGTGTTGTTGTGATCTGACAGTTAGATAAAGATGATTGTCCTCCCCTATAGATGGAATCTCTGATATTTAGACACTTTACCTACTGGTTCAGCTCTAAGTCTCACTCATCAAAACACTTACATACTGTAGCTACTGCTGTGCTGCACACAGTGTGCGTACAGAAGCTGTGTACTTTTATTTTAAAGCTCTCCTCTTCCTCTTCCTCTTCCTGTGACACTACAGTAACTGAAATCAACCCTGTCCTATTGGCAGTATTGTTTTACATTTGAATTTTCTGTGGCTTTATGGCACGGGCACAGCCTGCCATTCACTCTGGAGAGAGTCAACTAATTCCTGGGTGACAGTATCAGCCAATCAGGATGCACCATGCCTGCTGCTGTGCACATCAGTGGTCTTCTTGGTGTAGCCACTCCTTGAGCTACAGCAAAAATAAACCATTTAATATTTCATTATTATGCTGAAATTGAGCCTAAAATAAAATCCTCTGTGTATTTGTGTATGAAAATCCTGCACTGCCAGTGAGAGACAGCGGAGACTTGCTATAGTATTACTCACCGAGGTTTGCTGCAGTATTACTGCACGCTCACACAAACACACACATGCACAAGGCTGCGCTCCGCTCCTCTCCAGTGTCGCTGTTGCTTCCAAACTGTGAGTTCATATTTCAGGCATGAAAGGCACACAGAGGCCTGGCCTAAGTGGTTTGGACAGTGACTCACAGACACACATGCCTCCTGCGTCCACCCTCCCTCCAACACACTGCTGCTTATACTCTCATTTGGTTTTCTACCTTCCTCCCCTGCTCTGCCACTCTCTGCTGCTGATCTCTGAAGTCAGACCATTCCTGTTCATTTTCTCAGTTGAGGATGTTCAAAGCTATTTTTGACCAAGTAATATATACACTCATTGGCCACTTTATTAGGGACACCTGTCCACACTTCAGTGCAACACTTCTCCCTCAACATCTGTGTTTATGAAAATGTTTCAGTGCACATTGTCATTATATTCAGAGGTGTCTCTATAGTTTTGTCCTCCCCAGCTGCATACTGTACATGAAAGGGTCAGAATATTAGAAACACCTTTAAATATAATGTAGTCCAGTACATCACCACCTTTAACTATGACCTCAGTAATAAATATATCATTGAATCTATACATTTACAACAATTTCACCAAAAACTGAAACATTTTGAGCTTCATAAACACAGATGTTAAGTGTTACACTGAAGTGCGTACAGCTGTACCTATTAAAGTGGCCAGTCAGTGTAGGTTATCGGCTTGTTCTGGTGCATCATATAATGAATGTCCACATTTCTTATTTTGTGTGATTTGGCTTCTGTAAAAATGCCGTTTTAATAAAGATACTGAGTATCAGAGTAATCCACCAGTGAAAACAGGACTATAATTTGATGTTTTATAAGTGAAAATACAAAAACCTTGCTGCTTTTCCTTGTTGTATATCAATGTAACTGGAATATATTTGAGCTTTGGAATCATTATTGTTACACATTTCATAGATTACATAACTTTTTCTCATTTTGATCATCTTGTGTTTCATTTCAGGCGTGATTGTCCCGTTTGTGGGAACATTTCAAATAGATTTGTTTTGTTTTAAAAATGCTCCTATACATATGACTTGGTAATGGTGGACCCAGTGATGTATTAGAGGCCACTGGTTTTGTGAGATACTTGCTGTGCAATCTTTGCAAAGTGAATGATGGCGACACCCAGCATCTCTTGCTTTGCTTTGGATCCTCTGTCTCTTTGTTTTGCTGTTCTCCACTCTTTAAGAACTTTATTACACTAAATATTTTATGTCTCTTCTTCTGCCTCTCACTTACTCTGCTGTTTTCAGCTGCGAACTCTGTGCCATCTAGATGCTTCTCTCTTCCTGTTCCAGTGAAGCAGTGACTCACACAGTAAATCAAAACTTCACTGTAACTTTTAGATGACTAATGCAAATAGAGGAGACCAGCTTTTCCCTTTCACCTCCTGTTCCTTTTTCCTCCGCCCATCACCTGCTTTCACCTTTGCATTCCTCCTACGCCCAATTCGGAGTGACAGCGACTAACAGAGGTGGACAGTAACAGTAGATTCAATTCATTTCCTGTGTTGTGAAGTACACAGAAAACTTTTCCTCTACATAAATTTAATTTCAGCCAACTGTCTTACATAATTTAATAAAGTGAAATTCTCCAGCTCTAACTTATACATGGTATCCATCAGCTGCATGATAAGAATGGCAGTGACTTTCAGACACCCTTAACAGTAGGTAGGGATGAAATCAAAAACGCAACTTTGCGATGACATTTCCCCCGTCTACTTTCTCCGCCCCCACCCGGGGTGTCCATGCACAGTCTCAATCCAGCTTGGATATGCAGTATAATCCTTCCTGCATTTCTGCCTGCCTCAGGGCCTCCTGCCTGTTTGACATGCCTGGAATATAGTACCTTTGCAGAGAACTAGGAGTCATCCAAGTCGGATGACCAAACCACCTCAGCTGACCAGAGCCCTTTCTGATCGTTCCTTCTCCTCACTCTGTCCCACAGCAGAGAGTCCAGACACCCTGCAAAACAAACTCATTTTGATTGCTGGAATCTGTTATTTCCCAGTGAAATCATCATTGTAACATCACCAGTACAGGAAATTTCAGGTATTTTTCAACCTCTGTCACGTCCGTTGCACTCATCACATCTGTTGCTGTGACCTGGGAAATGAAGACTCCTGCAAAACATATTGGGGAAACTACACAACCCTAATAAAGCTTTCGAAATAAACTTCAGGTTTGCATGAATAACTTAAAATGCTCGTCTCTAAGCCCAAACAAAAGTAAACAAAGACAGTTATGTCCTGGATTAACTGACACATTCATCTGCAAACGTTGGTTTGTTAACATCTATGAGACTGTGGGTCGCTGTCAGTTTAGTGTGTGTGCATGGCAGAGAAATGGTAAGTATGGGAAGATTTTGGTCCCTGTAAATGTTAGAAGTGCATGGATAAAACAATATAAACCATGCAGTTTGCATCAGCTCCATGTACATGATAATATGAGTTGTAAGTAACGGCTCTACAAGATTCCCTGTTTTTGTTTTCATGTGACAGTGGACCTACTGGTGGGTGTGGTCACCTCATGGGGATAAATACAGGTCATTTTCCCATTAGTCAGAACTGCAAAATGTCAGCCAAAGATCAGTACAGTGTCAACGGTTTTCCACAGGATGCAAACATCTGCATCATCATCTCCCTGCCTCTTCAGTTTCTCCACAACTCCAGCGGAGATAAAAAATATCCCGCACCTGTGCGACAGCCATAACCCATAAACCCCCCCACACACACACACACACTCACACACAGTTTTTCCCATAAGAGCAAACTAATCTATTATTGAGTTCACTGCTGTTATTTCAGGGCTGAAGGTCACCAGCATCAATAACTTTGCTGGTAGCCACCAGACCACCCCACTATCCACACACACAACTTGTCACATGATGGGAAGTCTTAGTGGCAAAGCTAGAGAGATGTCTGGGCTTCTTCTACACAAAGACAAAAGAAGGGTGTGGATTACAGGAGCAGACGGAGAGACTGGTTGGTAAAACTAATGTAACTTCAACTTTCCCTTTCTGATGAGAATCAGGATAAAAACCAGTGCACCCTGATCCTCTGAACTCCTCCCCAGATACCAAAGACTGGACACTGCTGCACCACAGAAACTGCACTTTAAAGTAGAACCAAAGGTTGACTTGTTGCTAGCAAATCCTGATTCAACAGGAAACAAGGCGTAAAGGTAGCAAACACACACACATACAATAAAACAGAACAAAAACTTTCTGGTAAAAGTCAAACATCAAAAAATCCCACTGACAAGCATAATTAAAAGAAAAGTATTCATTATTAGGATACTGATGACATCCTATTGCCCTGTATTTGGGCTGTTTATAGTATTTTTATAGAGGTTATACTTTATGGTACAGTATAATGTTTAATCCTTATCAGCACAGTTTGAATATGTTTTTTACGTTTGTATGAAGTTGTGTGGCTGTAGCTGTGCTACAGTGTGGCTAATGAAGTGAGACAGAGAGACACGTGCATGTAAAATTGAGTATAATATCTACATGTCAGAGGCTGTGTGTGTGTGTGTGTGTGTGTGTGTGTGTGTGAACATCACCATCTGGTAAAAAAGGGAAGAAGGTTCGACATCTGTCCACTTAGCTTCTGTTTAATATTACTACTACAACTACTACAGTACTGTACCGCAAGTGCAACTACTATTACTATGTTTTCTGTTGATAATACTGCTGTTGAACTACTACTACTGATAGCACCACCAGTACTTCTACTATGACATGACTGTTCCTACTACCAAGACGTTATTACAAACATATAAAAGGTGAGGAGGCAACAGATGGTGAAAACCTTGGTCAGTGTCGGACTTTAGACGACATTCCACAGCCACAGCTGTTTCCCAGATGCAATGCATCAGTGTAAATTCAATTTGAACTGAACTTCCAAACTTCTACTATTATAATGAATATCACATATGTTAATATGCACTGTTAATTTTAATATACCAACTGGTCAAACTGGGAAATATCCACTCAAGATTTACTCACTCATCGTCGTCACTTGGCATCACACCATCAGAACTGGTCCATATGGCAGACCTCCCAGTTCGTCAGACTTTGATCCTGACATTCAGCCGCTTGCCCGCCGGTCGTCTCTTCGCTCGTCTGTCAGACCGGAGGCTGTGTACATGCCTGGCCTGAGCTCTCAGTTGCTGTAACCTCTGACCCTGGATGTGTTGACCACCATCGGCACAGCAGTCCCCTTGTCAGCAAGAAACAACAAGACAAGCTTTTACACCTCCTCTCCTCTGACTTTACTTCGTCTCCTCTGTCTTGCCAGGGCTTGTTCAACATTTCATCAACATTTTACTCATCTGTTGTCAGTGTCCTGAAACTGTGACCCCTTCTTCAGCCTGGGCTTTTATCTGAGTAACCGTCTGATTTAGTTCAACTGTCTTAATGATTAGTTTTCAGCATTTCTTTTTTTTACACATTATGTATTGATTCTATACATTGGCACAGAAAAATAAAGTGACCCCTTCAGAACCAACTGTTTATGTATAAGTCTGGTAAATATTGTCAGATTGTTATCTAATGCTATGTCCAGACTACAGGCTGAAATGACATCAATCTGATTTTTTCTTCCCCAACGTGACTCAGATATGATCTTTTCACAGATGTGTGGACAAACCAGATCAGATCAGATCTGGGCCACTTGAATATGTGGTTCCAGATCTGACCCATATGTGATATATAACCATTTCAGTGCTGTTGGTACAGTCAGTTCGCTGTCAGTGAGGGCCAAACAGATACACCATTTGCTCTTCTGTTGTATTTCTGATGATACTGTGACTCATCTTATGTTTGCTTTAAAGCTAAACCACACTTGCTGTCACCACCGGCAACCAAAATCAACCCAGACCAAAATTAATTAGCATAAAAGCTGATAGTGACTTGGAACAACTGAGCTGCTCAGGGGGGCATCTGCTTGATAAAATACAACAGTTTAATGATGTTCCCAAGTGAATAAATTCTTTTAATAATTTGTTCCAGTTCTTTGGTTCAACATGAGGCCATGTGAGGCTCTCAGCAACCACTCAGTTTAATCTGAAAAGACAAGCAAAAGTACAACCAGTTCACATATCCACAGTAACACAACACCTACACACATACACATGTACACACTAGAACAAGACACATACACACACTTGTAATGGACCTGCACAAAAACACACACACACAGACTAATACACCAAAACATTTCTTAACCATAAACATGTGTATGCACATACACACTGTTCCAGCACACACATAGTGGAGTTAGGTGGCATAGGAAGGCCCTCGGGTCTAATGTATAACAGTACCGATCCATCTGGAACTAGGGCAGCGCACACACACACATGTTCATTTACATACTGACGTGAGATGTGACTGGGAAGCATATGGATATGTATACAGGTGTGTGGGCGTGTCCTAGCGCCTGCACTAGAAGCCACACCCCCTTCACTGTCTGTCCGTCAGCCGCTTTATAACCAAACTCCAGGTGAGGGACTTTGATCGCTCACAAACAGTTGTGGGTCCACAAGGAAGCTACTTCAATTAGTTTTAAATAAAAGCATAGAGCATTTACATTCATAGGAGCAGTGATGGAAAGCAACTAATTCACCACTTCAGTAGATTTCTTTTTTATAATTGTACTTTGAATATTTCCATATGATGCTACGTTGTATTTACATTTCACTACAACTCTGGAGGAAACACAGGTCTGTCGCTGCACTACATAAATTTGACAGCTGCAATTACTTTTCAGTTTAAGATCTGATATTAAAAAGAGATGTTTATATAACAAGTTAAAGATTTAACTAGCGGGCACCAAACATTCTGTCTCTGGCCTGGCATGTGTGGTGAGAGACGTCACTGAGGAGAGGATAGTTAAATGAAAATAACTTTAGTAAAACACTCAAAGCAATGAGGTTTATTCTTAATGAAACTGTACTTTTTTTGTTTGGCTCATGTCCCGTCCACTAACATGAAGGAAGCAACCAGCCACCGAGAGGCGGTCAACTCGCAGTGGCTTCACTTCTCAGAGCTGTCATGGCTTCCATCATATATACAGTCTATGGTTTGACTACAGTCTTTAAAAGGTGCAGCCAGGTCTCTCTCCTGCCAGTTTAAAACTGTAGTCAGTGTTGGTTTTAAGTTTCGTTCAACAGTTTTATATCTAACCTACCGGTTTCATGTGTCGAACCAAATATGTTACAACGTATGAGTGGCCGACTTGTTTCCCTCTCCAAACACACACTCGGTGACTTGTGACTTCATTAACACATTTGTAACAAATCTTTTCCAAATGAAAATTTTCAAACTAGGTTTTCCACCTTACTTAACTGAAATGTGGCAGCGTCCTTATTTTCTAGCTATAAAAATTGTGTGTGTGTTGTGATAGCCCATCACAAATCTACTCCCTACAGCCCCCCCCCCCTTCCCCTAGTGGTGACAGCTAGGCACAGCAAGTGGAGAGAAGAATAGCCAGAGGGGAGACCGTAACACTCACCCATCTTAAAGAAAGACAGATAAATAAATAGCATGTCAGACTATCTTGCTTTACAAACTCCAGCATCATCTGCCTGTCCCAAAGGCCTACCAAGCAAGGAAATGTTTGTCTTGTCTTGTATCTGCTGAACTTCTGTGGAAAAACACGGGACTGAAAGCACGGGATCCAAAATATTGCTGGTATGATGTTTCGAGAGCAACTGTTTCCGTGCTGGATAACAAAACTACACATTAGATACTGCCTGACATTAGCGTATAACAAATACATCCTGTGAATCTGTTATGAATCCAGGGTTTCCTTGGGAAAAAGTAAACACAGCAATTGTCTGTTGAGACATGACAGGACACTCTCTGCTATGTTCATTCAGCATGGTTGTCACATTAATTATCCTTTTATTTACTTAATACAAAACCTTTACAGCAGTGCAGTCCTTTAGAAAAATATTGCGGCCTAACTATTGTTTATGATAATGTGCAACTGGACTGACACGGGCCCACCGTTATATCTTAAGGTTGATATACTGGGTATAATAACAATCACTCTCCCACAAGTGGTCAGACAACACGCCAGCTCACAGCTGTACCTTCGAGGGTGGTGAAAGAAATTAGCTGAATTTGGGGTTGGGCCTGTGAAGTGTCATGTACGTAATTACGTAGCCTACTTTCAGTCATCTGAAGGAACAAATCTGTTTCTATTGTATTACATACAACAGACACAGCTGTAATCTTCACTTGTGATATACACTGTACTCGTAAACACAATACAGAACCGGCGTTTTACGCTTCTAGTCAATGTTCTTCCATTTTACACCAGGAACCACACTGGCTGTGTGTTGGGCTCTGGGCAATGCAAAAACACATGGGCGTTGTACACACTAATGTGTCTAATTACAGACCGCATGGCCTGAAGCTGCACAGGCTGCATAGATATTGTGCAACTCTTATTAAACTTACTATGTAGGTGAATATTTCCCTTATCACAACAAATCTTCAGTAATATCTGTCCTCTGTAATAAAACACCTGAGATAAGACCAGTAGCACAGCAATTAAAATAAGCTTTCTAACTAAAGAAGCTTTCAAATGTTCTCCAGCCAAACTGTTACACCGCCTGCTAACTAGGCTGGAAACAACAACTTGACATCATGTATTCTAGTGAAAGGGCATTT